GCTCACCTTCCCATCTCCACAGGCGCTCACCTTCCCATCTCCACAGAGTGCTCACCTTCCCATCTCCACAGGCGCTCACCTTCCCATCTCCACAGGCGCTCACCTTCCCATCTCCACAGGGCGGCCCTGGATGTGTCCTTCCAGTGCAAGCCTACGGCCAAGGGCAGCTGCCCGTTGAGCAGCACCTTCAGGTATGTGCTGCTCTTGACATGGGGCTGCCGGAGGCTCAAGTGGAACAGCTGTGTGAGGCAGGCCACCCGCCTCTCCGGGACCTGCAATGCAAACTGGAGAATGCACCCCATCAGTCACCACGCCAAGCCCAGAGCACCTCTGCTCTCCCCTCCATCCAGGGCTCACAGGCCTCAGATCTGCTCTCGCCCACTACCCCCTGCGCTTCACCTCAGGCAGCTGAGGAAATTTAGAGCAAGCCTGGGCTAAGCACAGTGTGGTGGCACATGCCATCCCTGCCAAAGCCTCACACCGAGGACATGGATGAGGAGATGGGTGAGGGACATCACCAAGCCTGGTGTCTGCAAACATCTCTGCAGCCAGAGCCCAAAGGGGCACTGGGGCGTGTCCTGCACCCTTCTAGGCTCGCTGGCAAGGCCATGGCTCTGCTCTGGTGGCAGGCTCACCTCCAGGAAGTAATTGCGGAGTGCTGGTCCGGAATCGTTCTTGAAGGTCTGGCTGATGCGCAAGAATCTCTTGTTGCTGCTCTCAGCCCACCGCTCCCCGTAGCTGGCCTCCAGCAGCCAGCGGAGGTGGTCCAGGCCTTGTGTGTACTGTAGCTGGACCTGGGGACACACCAACAGTGAGATCCCTGAGGAGGCTTGCCACGCAGCCCAGAGCCCTCCTGGCCCTCCCCAGGATTCCAGCTTGCTTTTCTGCCAAGACACAGGAAGCAAAGGGGGCATTGCACACAGGATTGTTTCTTGATGCTAGGGATACGCCCTAAGACGTGTGTGTGTGTGTGTGTGTGTGTGTGTGTGTGTGTGTGTGTGTGTTCCAGTGTAGGGGTCTCAGACTGCCATTCCTCAGGTGCTATCTGCCTTTTTTGTTTGTTTGTTTGTTTGTTTGTTTGGTGCTTTTGTTTGTTTGTTTTCTGAGACAGGGTCTTACTATATAGCCCTGGTTGTCCTGAAACTCACTATATAGACAAGGCCGGAAACTCAGAGATGCACCTGCTTCTGCCCACTGAGTTCTGGGATTAAAGATACAAAATTCTGCACCCAGCCTCACCTTGTTTTGACACAGGGTCTCCCACCAAACCTGGAATTTACCAAGTACATTTGACTGGCTTATCTCCCTGGGACTGGGATATAACTTTACAATTTTTTATTATTTTAAAAATTAATATTTTATGTGTATGAATGTCTTGCCTGCATGTATGCACATGCACCATTCATGTGCCTGATGCCCATGCAGCCCAGAAGAGGGTATAACTAGAGTTACAGATGGTTGTGAGCTACCATGGGGGTGCTGGGAACCAAACCAGGGTCTTCTTCAAAAATGGTGAGTTGTTGGGTGTGCATACCTTTAGTCTCAGCACTCTGGAGGTAACAGTAGGAAGATCTCCATGAGTTTGAGGCCAGCCTGGTCTACATAGAGAGTTCCAGAACAGCCAGGGCTATACAGAGAGACCATGTCTCGAAAGGGAGAAAGGAAGGAAGGATGGAAGGAAGAAAGGGAGGAAGGAAGAAATTATAGCCAGGCAGTGGTGGCGCACACCTTTAATTTCAGCATTCCAGAGGCAGAGGCAGGCAGATCTTGGTGAATTCAAGGCCAGCCTGGTATAGAGTGAGTTCCAGGACAGCCAGGACTACATGTCTCAGAAGGAAGGAAAGAAGGAAGGAAGGAAGGAAGGAAGGAAGGAAGGAAGGAAGGAAGGAAGGAAGGAAGGAAGGAAGGAAGGAAGAAAGAAAGAAAGAAAGAAAGGAAAAGAAAGAGCAGCAAGTGCTCTTAAGTGCTGAGCCATCTCTCCAGCCCTAATGCCTGCCTTTTTTAATGTGAATTCTTGGAATCAAACTCAGGTTCTTACACTTCTTTTTTTTTGGAGACAGAGTTCTTATGCCTCTGTGATGAGCACTTTACTAACCAAGTCATCTCACACAGGGCAGTGCTCCCGAGGGGCCCGTGAGGCTGGGTGTGCTGCTAGACACCAGGACCCTAGGAATAAACAAGCCTGAGTCATGAGCCCCACACCTTCATCAGAGCAGCGGGGCAACCGTCAGTGGGAGAAGACAGCTTTAAGAAGGTAAGGCAGTGCCTAAGACAGAGCGCCTGTGTGGCCTGTGTCTCCATGACGGGTAAGGTGACCTGCTGACGTCCCATGCAACCTAAGTCAGAAGCTCATTTTTTAGTAAAAAGGGGGGACCTGTAGGGCCTTGGCCCCGTTTTGGCTAACTGTTGCCTTGCTTGTGGACCTTGACCTTGATATCCTCCCTATGCTAATTCCCTGCCAGGTTCCACCCTCCTGAATGCTTAAGGGAAGTTCCTTGTCTGTGTATCCTGAATAATGGGTGTTAACAGCTTAGATGCAAGAATGTAAAATGTCAGTAGTGAACTTCTGCCCTCTGGGGTCCTCCCATTGTGCTATAAGTCTGTATTTAAGACCTCTTTCCTCCTTCAATAAACAGCATTTGACATTTAAAAAAAAAAGATAAGGCAGATCTCATCTGTTTTCTCCTTCGCTGGGCTATCCATGTGTCCCTTAGGATCCTCCCTGCTGGCTAGCCTCCCTGGAGCTGTGGATTGCAGTCTGGCTATCCTTTGCCTTACTTCTAGTATCCACTTATGAGTGAGTACATCCGGATTAGTGAATACCCTAACTGTCATCATAGAGCCTTCATCCAGTTACTGATGGAAGCGGATACAGAGATCCACAACTGAGCACCAGGCTGAGCTCCAGGAATCCAACCAATGAGAGAGAGGAGGGATTCTGTGGTCAGGAGCCGTTGAGATCATCATGGGAAAATGTGCAGAGACGCCAGCCAAACTAGTGGAAATGCATAAACTGTGGACCAATAGCTGTGGAGCCCCCATAGGACTGGACTAATCTCTCTGTATACTTGAGACAGTTGTTTAGCTTGAACTGTTTGGGGGGCCCCCAGGCAGGGGGATCAGGATCCATTCCTGGTGCATAGATGGGTACTTTGGAGCCCAGTGCCTAGGGTGAGACACCTTGTGCAGCCTTGATGCAGGGGAGAGGGGTATGGACCTGCCTCAGCTGAGTGTGCCAGACTCTGCTGACTCCCCATGGGAGACCTTGTCTTTGGGGAGCTGGAAATGGGGGGTGGGTTGGGGGAGGGCTAGGGGGTGGGAGGATGGAAGAGGGGGATCTGTAGTTGGTACATAAAGTGAATAGAAAATTTCTTAATAATAAAATAAAAACAAAAAAGGTGAGGCAGGTGCTGTGGGATGGTCTTTCTGTACACTGAAGATATGTTGCTACCATTGGTTAATTAAGGAGCTTGATCTGTGACAAGACAGGAGACAGCCAGGTGGGCAATACAAGAGAGATACAGGGAGAAGAAGGTGGAATCAGGTAGATGCCAGCCTGCTGCCCAAGGAGCAACATGCTAGCAGACTGGTAACGCCATGGCCATGTGGCAAAACATGGATTAGTAGAAATGGGTTAATTTAAGATGTAATAGCTAGCTAGCAAGAAGCCTGAGTCATAGACCAAACGGTTTGTAATTAGTATTAAAGCCTCTGAGTGATTATTTTATAAGCTGCTGTGGCTGGGTGGGACACAGGAAAACTTCCAGTTACATCTGGTGTTCCAATGTGGGGCCGGAATTTCGACATAAAACTTGACAAAAGCTTAAAAAGGGATTACAGACCCACAAAAATGAGTCAAATGCAGCTTCTTGGTAGCTGCATTTTTCAGACAGGCTCCTTTGCTGGTGGCTAACAGATGCGAGGCTCCTTTAAGAGATGAATTCCTGGTTTGTGCTGGCTGCATGGAGGGCTCTTTTGAGAGGTCCTGCTGCAGAGCACATAAACGATTGTGGTCAACATGCTGTAAGCTGCTTGGTTCTAGCCGCTCAGCTTAGCAGTTTAAAAACTCTCCTAATCAAAAAAGGATTATAGATACACAATAAAACAGATTCAGATGGGAAAAAAATCTCTAAAAGGGTTACACTGTGTTTAAAAATATATGTAGGCTTGAGAGAGGAAAAAAAAGGGGCAGAGAAAGTCCTTAAAAAATAGAGTAATAAAAAAAGCCACGTAAAGATGGAAATACACAGAGAGTCTGGATACGTATATTATTGTGTTGTCTTTGTTTTTTGTTTTGTTTTGTTTTTTTTTTTTTAGCTACAGAGAGACATTTGATTGTGGGGGCTGCTAAATTAAACCAACATATATATAGGTTTTTCAAGACAGAGTTTCTCTGTGTAGCTTTGCGCCTTTCCTAGAATTTGCTTTGTAGATCAGGCTGGCCTCAAACTCACAGAGATCCTCCTGCCTCTGCCTCCAGAGTGCTGGGATTAAAGGCATGCGCCACCACCGCCCGGCCTCCAACATATATATTTTAAAGGTATCTTGACTTCAAAATTTGGGTCTAAGGATATGTTGCTTTGGAAAAGAAGTTCTGCTTTTGTTTCCACAGAAGATGAGAAGCTGTGGATTCCTTTCAGGTTAATATGGTTCTATCAAAGAAGACCCCCTGAGAGGTTTCCAATGGGAGCAATGGGCCAGATGATCCAACACCCAGAACAGCTTCACAGACTACTACAGTCAAGACCTGACCATAATTCTGAATTTTCTCAGGACCCCCATAAGATTGCCAGTGCTCTCAATCAGCAGGAAGTAGTATAAAAAGCTATACCCAAATTCCCAAAATATTGTTTATAAATGTTCATTTTTATTTAAAGGGGATTGATTATAAATTCAATCTCTTTCTAAGGAAAAAAGGGGGTATGATATAGAATTAATAAAAAAGATTATTGAATCTGCTTTGATCAAAAAACAACTATTAAGCTCAAAATACTTTACACTGATATGGATTTGGTTTATTGATACAAATTTAAGGTCAATTTTGTCATACTGTCTGTATATTTCCACTCTTGTTTAAGGTATTATGTTTATGCAACTCATTTAAAATTGCAATGTACAATTAAGAAATATAGATTAATAATTAGTCATCTATAATATTCAAACTTATAGTCATGTTAGTTGTTTTCTAGGTATAAAAAGATATATTTTAATTAGGTAGATAATCTTCAAACACTTCAAAGACATACAGAATATGGCATTTAAAATGTTTTAAGAACTTAGACTTTTCTGAACAATGAGATACATCTGCTCCTGGCAGCACCAATTACTTCAAAGAAGATAATGGGCATCGAAGAAACTCGTTATGGAGTTTGCTTACAATATGGAAAAAGCTAGCCATTTGAGCAAGAAATTGCTCTTGCCTAGACTGCTTGGCAGTATGTTGTGTAAACTGGACATGCAGGACCTATCAGAAAATGACCACTAAACTTTTCCAAAACAAGGCAGGATAGTCCTTCAGGTTCCTGCTTTATGGAAGAAACTGATAGACATTCTGCAGGACACAGAGAAAAGTGACTGATGAATTTTGCCAAAATAGGTGGAATAGTCCTTCAAATTTCCTGCTTCGCTGAAAAGTCTGCCAGATACTCTAGGCCTGTAGGCTGAAGATAGATGCCCCAATGTTACAGAGGAACTTTGGGTGACTGTCCAGACAGCCAGATGTCTCTGTCATTTCTAGAATTATGGAATTTGCTTGTACTGCATTTCCTTTTTACTCAGAATTTTATATCCTTCTGGGATCTTTGATGGAGTTGAAGACTAGATAGTTATAATTACAGTTTTCCTTAGTCATGATAAAAGATAAATTAGATATAAAACTTTAGACTCACAAAAATAGGATAGATGATAGAATATTTTCTTTAATTTTGCAAATATGAATGGACTAGATATTGTAACTATAATTCTTGCTTGATTGCTGTTTTGTTATATATAATTTTACTATGTTAAAATGAAAACCTTCCTTTTTGATTGGATAGAAGAGGGGAAGTTCTGTGGGATGGTCTTTCTGTACTCTGTGAATATATGTTGCTACCATTGGTTAATAAAGAAGCTGCTTTGATCTATGGCAAGACAGGAGGCAGCCAGGTGGGAAATCCAAGAGATACAGGGAGAAGAAGGTGGGGTCAGAGGAGCCGCTACAAGCTGCCACCTGAGAAGCAAGATGTAATGAAACTCAGGTAAAGCCACACATGATGATACGTAGATTAACAGAAATGGGTTAATTTAAGATGAGTGAGATGGTTAGTAATAAGTCTGGGCCATAGACCAAACAGCTTGTAATTAATATAAGCCTCTGTGTGTTTATTTGGGATGGAATGGCTACAGGACACAGGAAAATGTCTACAGGCAGGGGCTGGAGAGATGGCTTGGTGGCTATGAAGGTGCTTGCTGCTCGATTATAAGGACCAGAATCCTAGCACCCTCATCAGGTGGCTCCCTAAAACCTGTAATTCCAGCTCCAAGGGATCTGACGCCCTCTGCTGGGGCCCTTGAGCATCTGCAAACACGTGTACATACACAGTCACATTTTAACAAAATAGAAAGTAGCAGACTGGGGACAGCTCAGCAGTTAAGAGCAAGCACTTGCTGCTCTCCAGTGGACCCTAGTTCAGTTTCCAGCACCCAAATCTGGAGGCTCATACCAACCATAGCTCCAGAGGATCTAACGCCCCCTTCTGGCCCATGCAGGTACTACACTCACATGCACAAACCCACACAAGGGCACATGTAATTAAAAATAGGGGCTGAAGAGCTGGCTTATTGGTTAAAAGCACTGGCTTCCCTTCCACAGGACCCATGTTTGATTCTGGCTTCCATGGGCACTGCATGCATGTGGTACACAGACATATATGTAGGCAAAACACCCATACATATAAAAAATAAAGGTTAAAAATTTTAATAAAAGTATCCAGGTGGTGGTGCAAGCCTTGTACTTGGGAGGCAGAGGCAGGAGGATCTCTTTGAATTTGAGGCCATCCTGGTCTACAGAGTGAGTTCCAGGACAGCCAGGGCTACATAGAGAAACCCTGTATTGAAGAGGAAAAAAAAAATCTCTTAAAAAATAAAAAATAAAGAAGAAGAAAGTGAATTAATAAAGACGATCTGGCAATGTGGCTCAGTGGAAAAGCACTTACCCAGCATGTATGAGGCCTGGGTTCAATCCCCAGACAAACAAATATCCACCACCAGACAATAAAGGCAACACCCCATGCCCCTTCTGTTTCCCGTCTAGCTACTCTGCCAACCTTCCGTGACCCCTCTCCCCTCTCTCCTGCCCAGGACCTTGGTACTTACCATCCCCTCTGCCCAGAACACACTTCTGTGGGGATAAAATGACCTTATATTTTAATTTTCAGTGGAAGCATTGCTTGACCAGAGAAGCCTTCCCACCAGCTCCATCACAAGCAAGCTTGCCTGTGTTCAGTTCTCCCACCCATTCAGGCAATTATGCTTTCCTTGATTTTAGTTTTCTCTAGTACTTTACCTATGCCAATCGACAAGGTGCAAAGATCGACGCTATCTCCCCAGGACTCTCTGCTCCAGGCTGGGTATACAGTAGGTATTTAATAAAAGCAACCCAGAAAAGAGCCTAGAGCTGTCCCATCCCTCCAGGAATGAAGGCAGGCTTTGAAATCCTTAATCGCAGGCACCAACCTTGTTACTGATGACCGGGAGCTGTGTGCAGTGGAACTCATGGGCCAGCTCCAACTCACGGGTGTCCTTGGGGCCATTCTCCAGCCTCAGCCTCTGGTGGGTACTGCACTCATGGGCAACACGCCTCGTCTGACCTGTGTGGGTCAGCCCAGAGCCCTGCCTCCTTCTGCCCAGCATTTCTGCCAAGCTCCAAGGAGAGTGAGTTCCAGCCTGACTAAGCACACCACCGCCTCCACCCCCATTCTGCTTTTGGAGACAAAAGCACTAAGCTGGTCACTGACTGGCTATGTGACTGAGGATGAACTCGGACTCCTGATTTTCCTGTCTCCACCTCCTAAGCACTCAGATTACAGGCCTGTGACCCCACGCATGGTTTATTAAATGCTAAGGATGGAACCGAGGTCCACGCAGCTGGGCAAGCACTCTACCAGTTAGATCCCTAGCCTGTTAATGCAGCTTTCCAAGGGACAGGTGAGCAGTCCTCCAATGCACACTGTGTTGTCTGTGTTTAACAGCTGTGTCTGGTTGGGGCAGGGTCAGCAGAATGGCAGCAGCGTGGTGAGGGTGGCATCTTAGGTCACAGTGCAGGGCACATTCCCGCCTCACCCCAGTACCGTACCCAGGAGGCCGTACTTGATCCTCAGGGTGCTGCTTCCCACAGGGCCATGCTGCTCCAGCAGGCCCTGCATGTGGAGTTCTGCTACACCTGGAACCTGCAGCTGGATGTCCAAGGTGGCCGACTGCAGCCCAGCCTCCGCCTTCTTCTCCAGCAACACTGTGGGACAGCAGGCCACAGGCATGGGTGGCTGTCCCCCAGCATACTCCCTACCTTGGGGGCTCAGAGACCCCACCCCTGCCTCTCCTGTCCTCCGGAGCATTGACAGTAAGGCCCAGACAGTGTGATCTCCACCATCCGGGGCCGAGGTGCCTCCTCCGCAGGTCGCAGCCTGCTAAGTGGACATTAAGCGGGCCAGGAGAGGAGAGAGCGGTGCAGTCCAGGTGACTGGGCATGTCTACTTTCTAGAACTTTCAGCTCTGTACGTCTGCCACCAGCCAAAGTGCACAGAGCTAAGCCATACTATGGGACCCCAAAATGCTTACACTAGGCAACCTGCAGCCACTGCCCCAAGTTCCTCCAGCCCAGGAATCTTCCAGAACAGCACGAGGAGCCTCGTCAAGGGCTAGGCTGACAGTAGACCAGCACCACACTCTCATCAGACCTGGCTGGACGTGCTCAGACAGAAAGAACCCTGGGGACTTAGCTCAGGTGGCACTCAGCCCTGGGTGTGATTCTCCACACTGAAACCTGAGTGTGGTGGTGCACATCTGTGATCCCAGCACTTGGGAGACAGAGACAGGAGGCTCAGAAGTTCAAGGCCCTCCTCAGCTACCCAGTGAAGCTGCAGTCAGCCTGGGCCATAACAGACTATCACAAAACAAAACCTACATGATGCGTGTAAGTCCAGAAGCTAAATGTGCTTCCCACAGTGGGTTAGAGTCAAAACAGTCCCAAAGCTGTTGCCTTAGAAAGCTGCTTTTTTAGGGTACCTGGGGTGGGCTAAGGAGAAGGAGGTCAGTAGGCATGTAGGTGGGAGCACACAGGAGCCAGTGCCCCTGGATGGACATCAGTGTGAAGGAGGCTTAGCTGGTGGGGGTCACACAGGGACACTGGGCTGTCCATCCCCAACCTGACCACAGAACAAGGGTACTGGCTACTACCTGTTAAGTGAGCCTGGTCATTCAGCATGCGCCTCAGAGATGCAGAGATGGACAGCCTGCTGCCTGCCTGCCACGTGATGCTCCCATCAAGGACTATAGGTCGGCCCGCTGTCACCAACTTTGCCTCCACCTGGGCCTCAAACCGCTGGGTCTTGTTGCCCGACTCTGGCTGCAGGTCACTCTGGCCCTGAAAAAGTCCCAGCATCACCTGGGGATGGCATGCCCAGCAGTCCTGGCTCTGATCCTGTGAGCTCTGACCAGATGGGGGTGGGAAGGAGCTTAACTGAAGACCTTCTGCTTTGACTTTGGCCTCATTTTTTAATACAGGGTCTCAGGTAGCCCAGGCTGGCCTCAAATTCCCTATGCAGCTGAGGATGGCCTTGAACCTCTGAGTGCCGGGATTACAGGTGTGTGCCACCATGCCAGTGTATGTGGTCTGGGGATCAAGCCCAGAGCTTGTCCCACAGCAGGCAAGCACGCTACACCTGAGCCACATCCCCAGACCTCGGCCTAGGTTTTAAAATGATGAATTGTTTGAAGTAGGTTCCCTAGTCCATAGTCAGGGGGACGCAGGAGGGACTCGCCTGCCCTGCCCCACCTTACCTCATTAGAGGACAGAGCAGCTGCCCTGGCAGTGCCTAGAATCTTGTACCTCTGCGACCTCTGGCCACCCTGGCCTCTGTCCCAGTCTTGAAGTCTGGGTCCCTATAGTGTCCTCCTCCTGACTCCATTCTGGCCTCTTTAAGATGTCAAGATCAGGGACAGGAACCAGGACTCTGCACAAGGACAACGTGGCAGGAGCAGAGGCCACCCTTGAGGTGGCCAGCACTCTCAATGGCAGGTGCCCAGGTGAAGGGAAGCCCCACGGGCCTCTCTGGGGCCACTCGTAGTCAGTGGCCACAGGAGCTGGGAAAGCAGAGACAGGTGTGCTGGTGCGCACTGTAGTCCTGGAACTCAGTGGATAACAGGATTGTAAACGTGATAACATCCTGCGCTACAGAGTGAGTTTGAGGAGAGATTGCTCAGTGGTTAGAGGACTTGCTGCCCTTCCAGAGAACCTGGGTTTGGTGCCAGCACCCACATGAGTGGCTAACAACTGCCTGTCACTCCAGCTCCAGGGGATCCAATACCTTCTTCTGGTCGCCAAGGGCACCAGACATGAACATTCTACATATACATACACTCAAGCATTTTTTTTTTTTTGAAAAAGAAGAGGAGGGGGAAGGAGGATGGAGAGGGGAGGAGGAGGAAGATGAAGGAGAGGAGGAAGTAGCAGCAGACAGGCATAGTGATACAGGCCTGTAGTCCCAGAAGCAGAGACAGGAGGATCACAAGTTCTAGGTTAGCCTGGGCTACACAATGAGACCTGTTTCATAAGACAAACAGATAAGAGACAACAAGGTCTATGCATGTGTGAGTATGTGTGCATGCATGTGAATACATGTGTGTGCATGTGTTCACACACGCATACATACACTCCCATTTTACAAAAATGCATGCAATCCATGCACTGTGTGTCCCAGTGGTGGCAATCTCAACTCTACATCAGGGGCTGTGGGAGGCAGCACATCCCAGACCTGGCACCCACAGAAGGAGACTCCAGTCATAGTTCCTGCATCAAGGGACAGGCAGCTGGGTCTCTCCAGGCCAGTCACTATGTATGATCCCCAACATGTCACACCCTATCAACTCGCTGAACCCAGCACAGCTGCCTGAATTCAGGAGCTTGCCTGCCTCAGTTTCCTCCTCTGCTGTGGGGCTTCCTGAAATCAGTGAAGTGGGGACCTAGGAGCTATGAGAACAGGCTCTAATGAGTTCCATAACTCTAGCTGCTGGCGTTACTGCAGTGGGTCAGAGGTGTGAGAGCTGCAGAGGGCACCCTGGGAGCACATGGGGCTTTCCCACACTGGCACGGAAGGCTGAGACCCCAGGACTGAGAATGAGGAGTCTTAGCCTAGGCACCTGAGGCTTGGAGGAAGTCATCTTCCTGGGCACTCAGGAGATAGAGGTAGGCAGTGGAGAGGGTGCGGGTCAGAGGTGATGATGAGGGTGCGGGTCAGAGGTGATGATGAGGGTGCAGGTCAGAGGTGATGATGAGGGTGTGGGTCAGAGGTGGTGATGAGGGTGCAGATTAGAGGTGGTGATGAGGGTGTAGATCAGAGGTGATGAAGGTGTGGGTCAGAGGTGGTGATGAGGGTGCGGGTCAGAGGTGAGGGGTACCTCATCTGGCAACAGGGTCTTTGTATCTGGTGGCATGAAAAGAGGTTATTAGCCTGAATCCAGTATGACAGGTGTCCCCTAAAAAGAGGCAATTTGAAATGACCTGTAGAGGGGAGACAGTTTGACCAAAAAGGGAGGAAGCCATCTCTGGGCTGAGGAATTCTACAGGTAGAACCCACAGGTCTGGGAACGCAGACTCCTTCCTTCACAGCCTCCCCAGAAAAGCCCTGCTCATGTTCCCTACTGGCCTTCAGAGCTAATGGCTGATACACTGTGTTAAGTCACCCAGTTCTGGGGACCTCAGCCTGACATCAGGAAACCTGGGTGTGGGCTGTTTAACTTGTTTTAATATCTTTCTCTACTCTGAACTTGTGAAAACTTCTATTATTCTTCTTTTAAAGATTTATTATCTGTTTATGTGCATGGATCTATTACGTGTATGTGCACATGTATGTAGGTTCCCAAGAAGCCAAAAGAGGGTGTCAGATCCTCTGAAACTGGAGTTATGGGCAGCTGTGAGTCAGTGGATGTGGGTGCTGGTCCTCTGAATTGTTGAGCAATCCCCAGCCCCCACACTTTCTATTATTGATTCCACGCATTTTTTTCACATCAGTGTGGGATGGGGGCTTCGTTGGACCAGGTCACTGGCTGGGGCAGGGAGACCCGGAAATGGGGCTGATGCAGGTGTGCCAAGAACACAGAGCAAACCTTGACATAATAGACATCCTTGTCGTCGAGTACCAGCTCCAGATGGCCCATGCGTGTACTCTTGAGGACCTCCATCTTACCTGGGGACAAGGCCAAGTTCAGGGGGTGGGGCTCTACCTTCCAGCCCATCTTCTATCCCCTGAGCCATCAAAGGGACCGGCTCTTGCTCTGGAACCCAGGAGTGAATGGGTGGCAGGCACATTGCCCACGCTGCTGCTGCCAAGGGGTCAGGTGACCAGGGAGAATGCTGTCCTCACCATCCAGCTGAATTTTCTTTTTGGGGTGCAGCAGCTTGAGCCGACACGTCCTCTGCGGCACGCTGTAGCTGATGTCCACGCCCACGTCCCTGGCCACGCCTGACTGGGGTGTACCCATGAAGAGGTGGGCTGTGGCTTCTTCCGGGAGCCAACTGTCCTTCTGCAAACACGATGAGGGTCCTGAGGAGAGAAGCCCACCGCTCCTCTTCTGAAACAGGGCCTCTTAGCCTTGCAGGAACAAGCCCAGCAGGCATTTCCCGGGCTCTGAACGGCAGCGCGGGAGAGGCGGGTTTTAGGACAGCCTGGCGCAGGACTTTTGATTTTCCCTCAGTGTTGGAGTCCAAGGCTTTGTTGCATGCTAGGCAAATGCTCTCCCACTGAGCTACACCCAAGCTTCTCCGGGTCTTGATTGGCAGGGCAAATGACCAAGGATGAGGCTTCTGCAGTACACAACTCCAGCATCCTATCAATGCTGTCTCATCCTAGACTAGTCCTGTTCGGGTCCCTCCTCTTTCTCACACTTTGCTATGCACAGGGGACATCTGTAATCTCCAGGACACAACCCTGTGTTCTGGAGTCAAAACTCTACCATCTTTTGCTTGCTGCTACCAACTCTGCTCCAGAATCTGAGGGCGAGGGTTGGTGAAGCCAAGTTCAGCATCTATCTTTCCTGGCCTTCTCTTGGCCCAAGGGCCTTTGTTTAACAAACTTCCTCTACCCCAAGCTACTGCATATGAAGCTCTGAGAAAAGCAGCTTTGACTTAAATTGCTTCTAGAACCCAGAGCCAGGGTCAGAGTGAGGCTCAGAGGGACCCTGCAGGCCTTGCATGCATACACAAGGCCCCAGCTCCTCCCCCTACACTGCAAACAAGTCAAATAAAATACCATATCCCTGTCCACTCATTTGGCACTTCTTGTGAAGCTAGCCTGAAGCATGGAAAGCCCTAAGTGTGCAAAGCTCCTGCCCCTGGGGCCTGACACCCCAGAGTTGGGGGCACACAACAACCAGACACAGAACCAGGTAAGAGAGCAGCCAGAAATCTTGGTCATGTGGGTACCTGAGTGGTCCTGGGAGGGACATGTGTTTTAGGTCAGGTGGCGGGGATGGGCTATCTTTGATGGCCTGTGAGGATGCCTGAGAGAATACAGAATATGAGGTTACCTGGCATTGGAAGAAAGAGTGTCTCAGGCACAGGAGAGAGCCAGTGCAAAGGTCTGGGCACAGGAATGTGCTTGACACATCGAGTCAGAGTTAAATGGTGCTAGGCAGAGAGTCAGCGTGTGCCAAGGTCCTGCAGCAACAGCAGGGAGCCAGCTCAAAGCCTCAGAGTCCAAACCTGGGTCTTTGTGGCCAAATTCTTGGTGCTGATATGCATGGGGAGACCCACAAGTCAGATGGGAAGGAAGGGGCCACTCCACACTGCCCACCTGGAAATGGAGGGTGTAGGCAGCTTCCAGCAGGTACAGCTGAAGTCCTGGGTCCTGCTTCTTCAGAATCAAATTCGCGAACACAGGTACGGAGAGCAGGGAGGGCTGACCGGGCCCTGGCCAGGCCACATTAGTACACAGCTGCAAACCCCAGGCTTGGGACGCTGCAAAGACAGTTGAGTGACAGCTGTGGTTAGCAGAGAGGGCAGGGTGTGGGCCCAGCCACCCATGTTAGCATCCTTCTGAGGACCAGTGCTGTATAGACATTAATCCCGAGAGACAGGACTGCATAGGCCAGGGCTCCTCGGCCTCAGCACACTGTTGACACATGAAGCCCAGTAATCTCTTGAGAGTATCATATATATTACATAACGTTCTATAGCATTCCTGACCTTTACCAATCAGATGCCAGGAACTACCACCAATGCCAGTTATAGCAAGCTGCAGTTTCACTAGCCATTCCCTAATGCCTCCCCCTCAATCCAGGGGTGCTGTAGAAGGCAAAAACAAGCACACTAGAACCACTAATGCAGATTTTTATTATTTTTAATGATTTGTGTGTGTGTGTGTGTGTGTGTGTGTGTGTGTATGTGTGTGATTTTTTGTCTGTGTGTATGAACATGTGAGTGCAGGTACCCAAAGAGGCCAGAAGAGGGCATCTGTTCCCCTGGAGGTGGAATTACAGGCAGTTGTGAGCTTCCCACTGTGGGTGCTGGGAACCAAATTCCAGTTCTCTGCAACAGCAGCAAGCGCTCTTAACCACAGAGCTATCTCTCCAGCCCCAGGATGATTCCTTTTGTGTGAGACAGGATCTCACTGTGTGGCCCTGACTGTCCTGGAACTCACTCACTCTATACACCAGGCTGGCCTCAAACTCAGAGATTTCTGCCTTCCTCTGCCTCCCGAGTGCTGGGATTAAAGGCATTCGCCACCACATCCAGCCCCTGAACCATTTTTTTCTTATAAAATTATTTTTTATTTTAAGCTACATAAATATCTTTCTCTGGAATGTACCAAAATGACTTGCTTATGGGGTTTATAGCTTGGGATAAACATAATAAACAAAATTTCATCTCTATTGCACAGAGCTGTAATGTAAAAATGACTTATAGGCTGTATTTTTCAGAAAGCAGGTAACTGGACAGTAATATGTGGAAGGAACTCTCCTGTTGAAGCCTGTGTGATGGAATGGATGCTCTGACTGGAATGCCTCTGTGCTCTGGAGGACGCCAAGCTTCCTCCACACACAGCCACGGGGATCTGATCAGTCTCCTCTAGTCTCATCCAGAATGGCTTGCAAAGAAAGATTCAATACATCTTCTGGCAAAACGCTTTGATACAATTTGTGTTGATTTCAGAATAGGAGTCATAATTTTGATCAACGGTGAGTTAATGAGATTCCGTGGTAAAGAAAGCTAGGATGCTGTGGCGTACTTCATGATGGCTGTGAGTCGCCCCTATTCCAGACCCAGAACTCTTCATGCTGTGCTCACTGAGTCAGCATAATTCTGAAATACTCTGCAAAGACCGGAATAGCCTCTAGCCCAGGCTTGCACTAACAAATGCACACCAATCCCCCTCCTTTCTCCAGCGTCATGCGAAGCCCTGGCATCCGCATCAGCCAAATCTTGATTCCCACTCAAATCCTCACAACGGTCACCCTGGGCAAGAGAAAACAATGCCATTTTTTATTTTTTCTGCAAGTCTAGATGTCTCCGAGGCAATATCTTTGGCCAGATCTTTTTCCAGACCTTCACTGTAGACTCTTCATTTCTCTGGTTTCTTTTACAATGAGAGTTTTCACCTGTTCCAAGTCCCTTCACAGCCCACAGGTCATTTGTGTCAAGCTGGGCTGGAGTTTTAGCACACTGAGAGCCTCCTCCTCCAGGTGACCTGTGAGGGCTTCCCTCTGAGCTTCCTCTGGGTGTGTTCCCAGAGGTGTGCTGTCTTGACCTGCATTGCTGAACTTTGGTTCTCTTGGTGCCAAGGTCACTGATGATTATTACTTCATCCACACCTTTAACTGTTACAGCTTTGTGCAAGACAGCAACATCCAAGGGTGCATGAAAGCTAGGGCAGGAGTCACTGCTGACTTGGGAACCTCTGGATGGTTCATGGTTTGAGTGACTCTTAGTTACTTTTCTATTACTGTGAAGAGACACCATTACCAAGGCAACTGATTTTAAAAAAGCATTTAATTTGGGGTTTCATGAGTCCAAGTGTTAGTGTTCACAATCATCATGATAGCAGGGGGACAGGCATGGTGCTAAAGCAGCAGCCAAGAGCTTCCATCCTGATCCACAAGCTGAGGGCAGAGAGGAGAGAGAGAGAGAGAGAGAGAGAGAGAGAGAGAGAGAGAGAGAGAGAGAGAAAGAGAGGAGGGAGAACACTAAGTGGGAATGAGGGGGGGGGGAGTTGAAACCTCAAAGCGAGCCCCTGGTGATACACCACCTCTAACAAGGCCACACCTCCTAATCCTTCCTAAACAATTATGCTAACCTGGAATATGCACTCAAATGTATGAGCCTCTGGGGGCCAATTCTCATTAAACCACCACAGAATATATTCTTGTTCTTGATGGCCAATAAACTAGGCCTGCCAGAGGAATTCTGATGTCACTGCCATTTTAAAGAAATGTCTTTTTCTTTCCCTTCTTCTAAGGATCTAAAGAGAGGCTCTGCTCTAAAGGCTTCAGTCTCCCCAGGACCTTTAAACCATGCACACTCCTGAGAATGGTCTAGCCCAGTCTGCTTGGCCCGTGGTCCTGGTAGCATCCCCACTTGGCTGAAGCGGAGGTTAACAAACTGGCCAAGAAAGGACGGAGCCCCTCCTGGACTGGTGGTTCCTGTCATAAAGAAAGCAGCTACAGCTGGATGGAGTGGCACACGCCTTTAACTCCAGCACTTGGGAGGCAGAGGCAGATGGATCTCTGTGAGTTCGGGGCCAGAGTGGTCTACAAAGCAAGTTCCAGGACAACCAGGATTACACAGAGAAAATTTGTCTCGAAAAATAAAACAAACAAAACAACAACAACAAAAAGCAGCTGCTCCTCCCATGCCTCTTAGAGGAAAGAGGAGCTAACTCCCATCCGATCCTCTTCGAGGAAGGAGGAGCTGACTCCCATCCGATCCCGGCCTCTGAGGAACCGATTGGCTCGTTACTGGAGACAGGTGCATCCTCTCCACCCCCAGGAAAATGAGTCTGCACTAGTGCCGTAAATTTGTCTTGTACATTCAAGCAATAATGTCACTTCAAATAACTAGCTTTAAAAAGAAGGCAGGGGAGGAAGGAAGGGAGGCGGGAGAGGAGGAGGGAGAGCAGGCAGGACAGCTCAGTAGGTAAAGGTGCTTGCTGCCAAGCCCACCAACCTCAGTTCTGTCCCCAGAACTCACATGGGAGGAGAGAAGAGACTCCCCTAAGTCGTAGCCACACACACATACAAATAAATAAACAGGTAACAATTTTTTAAACAAAGGAAAAAAAGCACCCAAGGAAAAAATTAAAAGGATAAAAAGAAAAGAAAAGAAAGTGCCTAGAAACATGCTCTGTCTCTAGTCGCTAATCCTGTCTCTAATCTCTTAGTCCTCCTCCACGCTACTCAAAAACAAAATCTGGACCAGGAGTTCAAGGTCATCCTTGGCTACATAAAGAGTTAGAGACCAGCCCAGGCTGTCTCAAAAAATATATATACATGTACATATGTGTGTGTGTGTGTGTGTGTGTGTGTGTGTGTGTGTGTACATATATATATAGTGTGACTGGGGATGTAGCTCAGTTGTGTAATAGTCAATGCTTCAACTTGACAGGATCAGGATCATTTAGGAGGCAAGTCTGGTCTATAAGGTATTGTGTAGATTAGGTTAGCCTCTATGTAGATTAGGTTAGCCTCTGGGCAAGTCTGTGAGGGGTCTTCCAGATTAGGTTAATGAAGGAAGGAACCCCCACCCTCATTGTGGGCCCAGGACTGAATAGAAGGAGTGAGAACCGAGCAGCAGCATTCACCCCTCTGTGTCCTGACTGCAGGTGTGTCGCTGCCAGTTGGCCTCCCGCTCCTGTGGCCGCGCCTTGCCCGCCGTGGTGAAGTGATCCCCTGAAGATGTGAGCCAGAATAGGCCATTTTCCCCTTAAGCAGAGTTTTGGAGGCAGGAGGATCAGTTCTGCTGCTCATGACTTTGAGACCAGCCTGGGCTACATAAGACCTCATCACAAATAAACAATGAGTTTGAGACCAGCCTGGGCTACATAAGACCTCATCACAAATAAACAAAAGTTCATCAGACACCTCTGTGCATTTCATAGTGACTTTGGTTTTTCCCAGGGTGCAAGACTAGAGGCCAGGTTGTTAGGGGACTAAATGTCGGTGACACAGATACTTTTGGGGAGGAGTTTGGAAGTGGTCCTCCACACCCAGGACACCCATCTCAGGCCGAGAACCAGAGGCCCAATGCCTACCTTCATGGGTACAGGACCAGGACTTGGAGAAGCCCTGACCTTCACTTAGGTTCTTCACACTGTCCCCGGTGACAAGATACAGCCTGGAGCTAGTGGAAGAGGATGAGTTTGACAAATTGTCCTTGTCACATGCAGGCCACTCCCCGGCAACCTGCCCCACCCAGGCCCTCCTCCATGAAGGCCCCCTACCTCATCTCTTCCCATAAGCAGCTTACCCCCATCCCCCACCCCCTTTGCAGACTCCGCCCACATTCGGGTCTCTGGGTGGTGAAGGCCCCCACCTGAAGCTGAGTAGCTCCACTGAGTCCTCTGGGGCGTTCAGATGCACTCTGAGGTTCTGACCCTTCCTCACTTGGATCCCACCGTCTAGGCTGGCGGTGCCACGGACACGGGTCAACCACCTGAGCCCGGCCTGCCCCAGGGTCCCTGAGGTGCCCATCTGAGCCGAGACCTGAAGGAGGACACTGAGGGAGGAGGGACAAGGTCTGGTGCCTGCACCCTCTGGGCCCCCATCCAGTCCTCGCTGTCACCAGCCCATTGTACAGATGGAGATGCTGAGCCTCCGAGGGGCTCAGGACACAGCCAGGACGCTTCAGCCGCCCCCGCCCAGTAGAGGATGTGTTGTCCGTGTTCTCAGTCATACTCAGAACCCACAGACTGCTTGGCTGGGTGGTGGGGCAGACCGCCCAGAAATGAGACCATGACTTACATGCATTCTGTTACCCGCTTCCAGACCACACGGCCTGGTCCTGTGGCAACCTCATTTGAATCTGTTTCCTCACCAACAGTGGGTTAAAGAAGGACCTGCCCTCCTTGCTCTGTGGTCACTGGGGTTTGGCTCCTCTCACCTCCCTTGGGAGGCAGAATGTGGTGATGTGACTAGAGACGGTGTGGCCCGACTCTCCTGTGCAGCCCTGAGCACTCAGCCTCACAGCTCTGGGCCTGTCTTCTCAATGTACAGGGACCTCCTAGCCCAAGACACCTCATGGTTGTCTGCTTTGCCAGCCCCAGGCTGGCAGGACGGCTGTGGAATGGGAACTTCCTACAGCCCGGATGATGGATGCCCAGTACCCCACATCCTCAATCCCCTACTCACCCCAACTTGGAGAAGTCTGTTACCTGGGCTTGATGTAACCCCTCAGGGAGAAATCTGAGAGTTGCTGAAAGTCAGCCACGCCTTGGACATGGATGCTGACAGTGGCCAGGGCGTGTATGGTGAGCCTGGCTGGAATGCCAGACATTGTGGGAAAGAAGAGCTCCCCCACAGCCAGATTCAGCCTCCGGGTCACCTGCATCTCCTGCCCCTGTGGGTGGTCAGAGAACCATAGTGACAACCCACAGCCATGGCTAGGGACAGGTGATCTTAGCATGGGGCACAGGATGCCTGCTTTTCCTCCAAATACAAGTCATTCCAGAGATACAGGTGAGGGAAATGAGGCCATGGACATGAATGGTTGGCCCAAGGCCACATAGCCCGCAGGAGTAGAGCCACCCTGGGAATGCAATGGTCTGCTTATTGATCAAAGGCCAGAAAGGAAGGTGGGCAGAGCAGGTGTCTCAGACAACCAGTGACACATCACTCAATGTGTCCTAAGCAGACCTGGGCACTAACTTAGTCAGCATGGGCCCTCTGAAGGAAACATGCTGCTTTATTTAATATCTCTGTCTCAAGACTGGGGTATGGATGGCTCTGTGCAGAGAGCTTGGCTAGCCTGCATGAGCCCTGCACCCCACCCCCAGCACTAAAAAGATAAAAAGAGCTAAATATCTCTATGTCTGAATCAGTTGTCAAGACCATGGCAAGACCCACAACAGGCCCAAAGTGGGAGGTGGTGTGGGGAAGGCCTTGTGCTCAGGTATGACCCTAAATTTCATGTCCCAGGATCAAAGGGTAGGGGAACAGAGGTAAGACTCAGGTCAGAGAACTGTAAGCAGAGGCAGAGGGAAGGGGATGGAGACAGAGACACGAGGCAGGGCACGGTGTTGTAGAATACTTTTATGATAAATAGCAGTAGAAATCTGGGGAGAGGGAAGATCTGGGAGTGAGAGAAGGAGGAGGACTCCAGGGGCCAGCCACCCAGCTACACAGCCAGACACGGAATAAGAAAGAAAGAGAAGACTTACAGAAATAGAGAAAGGTAAAAGCCCAGAGGCGAAGGGTAGACAGGATAATTTAAGTTAAGAAAAGCTGCCTAGAAACAAGCCAAGCTAAGGCCGAGCGTACATAAGAAAGAATAAGACTCTGTGATTTATTTGGGAGCTGGGTGGTGGGTCCCCAAAGAACTAAAGAGTAAATAAAAAAAACCAACCACAGTGCAGGGCTGGGGACAGAGGCACGAGGCAGAGCACAGGGCTGGGGACAGAGAGCCGGGAGTAGCGGCAGGAGTCACGGGAGGGGGGTCAGGGACAGGGGTTGGACAGGGAGTACCTTGAGGAACGTCATGGCAAGTTCAGCCAGGTGCAGAGACCAGCGTCTCCTGTGGTCCCCCAGAGGCCCACAGTCCAGGAAGCTCAGCTCGTGCCCGAACACTTTGACACTCAGCCGGCAGCTTGGTGCTGGTCTTGCCCCGTACCACCGGGCTACCTGAGAAAGAACCGGAATGAATAGGAGAAACTTAGGGTGAGCCAGGCAAAGCTTCTGGAGTAGGAGGAAGGGTGGGCTGCTAGAAAGGCCAAGGGTGTGTGGGGCCCAGCCCACCAGACACTCTCTCCCACATATGTTCTCCGACATGCACAGTAGTGTCCATGGCCCAGTGCAGGTGTGAACATGAAGCCAGCATGAATGAGCTGTGATGAGCCGGCTCAGAACTGCAGCTGCTTTTCCCTGCTTCCCTTCAGCCCCTGTAGGATCCGGCCCAGCCACCTGAGTGGCACTCGGGTCCACATGGTCGCCTAGTCCCTCATCATTCCTCAGGCTATGATGTAGACTTTATTCCTAACACTGAAAGTTAGGAGGTTTTATATAGAATCCAAACCCATGGCTTCTTAGAACAGAAATATTGGTTTGTCTACCACCCCTCAGTAAGGGGTGACCAGAGCCAAGAGGCAGCTGCCGGTGTGTGGGTGGCTGTTCTTCTGTTCACCACCGTCCCTGCCCGCCCTGTGGTCTTGCCAACATGGAGATCAGGTATCTGTTGTTACTCTCTTTGTCTTAGCAAAATACATCTTGGCATGTGAGTATGAAACATGAGGAAATGAAAACAGACTACAGAGAGTGCATTCGAAGACAAAAATGTTTGTTTTGTTTTTGTTGAAGAGGGTCCCAAGTAGCCCAGACAGGCTCCAACCCATCGTGGGCTGAGGTTTGCTTGAAAACTCCTCCGCCTTCTCAGTGCTAGGGTTACAGGCATATGCCACCATGCCCAGCTAGAAAGAAGTGTTTATTCCTAGCCCACCTGGGCTTTGGGCTAACATCTGGTCTATGTATAAACATGTCAGTACACACCCAAGCCACCCACGCTGCTGGCTCTCAGATGTACACAGACATGGCATTTTACAAGAGCAAATGCTGCAGGCAGAGTGCGTGCCCACCATGGTCCCCACCCTCCAGAATACACATGAGAACCTGTGCCCAGAGTCTCTGCTGGGACAATAATTAGCAATGGACCTGATCACTCAACTGAAGACAGGCTTCCAACTACAAGGCACATGCCCTCAGACATGCACACACATACCACAAAAGCACACCCAGGTCCCTCACAGCACAACTTTTCATTTCATTTTATCTTTTGATATGGTCTCATGTAACCCAGGCTGCCCTCAAACTTGAACTTCTGATCCTCCTGCCTCCATCTACCGAGTGCTAGCATCACCTCCACGTCTGTCTTTACGTGGTGCTAGGGGTCCAGCATGCACTGGAGAGGTGGAGGGCAGGGGTTGTCAGTGTGAGGCCAGCCTGGGTTACATTTTATCTCAAATAAAATAAAACAAAAATTTTAAAATACCACAGGGGCTGGGAGATGACTCGGTCAAGAAAGTGCTTGTCAGAGCCGAAAAGAAAGACCTGAGTCTGGGTCCCCAGCATTCAGTTGTGCCCCTTAATCCCTGTGCTGGGGAGGCAGAGTCCGGAGAACACCTGGGCCAGCCGCCCTAGGGGAGCAGGTGAGCTCCAGGGTCAGAGAGAAGCTGTGTCCCCAAAAATAAGGTAGAGGGCTGGAGAGATGGCTAGGCAGCTAAGAGCACTAGGTTTAGTTCCAGCATCCACATGGAGGCCAAGAACTCTCTGGAAGTCCAGTTCCAGGGGATTTGATGCCTTCTTCTGACCTTTATGGCTACTGCACATATGGTGCACACACATACATACAGGTGAACACTCCAATATGAACTTAATTTAAAAAATAAGGTAGACACGTGATGGAAGAAGATGCTCAGGGTCAACACATGCACACACAAACACATGCACATCCACATGCACACACACATATGCACAAATACACATGCACACACATGCAAGCACATACATCTACATACCCATGCATGCACACACACACATATACAGAAAAGTGAAAGAAAACCCCAAATTAAACAACAAAACCATTCCCACTAGAAGAGAATAAAAAGACACACCATAAACTGTGAGATAGTGTTTCCAAGTCACATATCTGATAACAGGAGTTATTTCTAAAATAAAAAATTCCCAAAACCCTGTAAAAAAAAAAAAATAACCCAACCAGACAGCGGTGGCACACACCAGCACTCAGGACGCAGAGGCAGGCAGATCTCTGTGAGTTCAAGTCCAGCCTGGTCTACAGAGTGAGTTCCAGGACAGCCAGGGCTACACAAAGAAACCTTGTCAAAAAAAAGAAGGAAGGAAGGAAGGAAGGAAGGAAGGAAGGAAGGAAGGAAGGAAGGAAGGAAGGAAGGAAGGAAGGAAGGAAGGAAGGAAGGGGAGAAAATAAGCCAATAAAATAAAATATATCTAATATCTGTATATACATTTCACCAAAGAAGACACCTGGCTAGCAGAACTGTCCTCAAGGCTGGCCCGATGGCTCAGGCACTTGCAGCCATGCTGATGACCCCATCCACGTGGTGGAAGGAGAGGACCAACAATTACAAGTGGTCCTCTGACCTCCACACACATTTTGTGCCATGTGCTTGTGAGCATGCACACATACACACACATGGGCTAAAAAGTAAGTTCCAGGCCAGCTCAAGCCCAAGAGGGTTTGGAGTCAACCTAAGCTGCATAGTCAGACCTGTCTTTAAAAAAGGAAAAGAGAAGAAGGAAGGAAGAAGGAAGGAAGGGAGGGAGGGAGGGAGGGAGGGAGGAAGGGAGGGAGGAAAGGGGGGAGGCTGGAGTAGTTCAGCGGTAGAGTGCTTTCCTAGCATGGGAAAGGCCCTGGGTTCTACCCCCAGCCCTGTGCAGGGGCAGGGGGCACCACACAGCCCTGGGTTCTACCCCCAGCCCTGGGCAGGGGCAGGGGGCACCACACAGCCCTGGGTTCTACCCCCAGCCCTGGGCAGGGGCAGGGGGCGCCACACAGCCCTGGATGAATGAAACCAAGCTAGAGTGAGTGCAAGCTTTAAATACATGTTGAAATTTATGTGACATCTGAGGAAACGCCAACAGTCTACAGCAGCACACAGCTGCTCAATAGCTCCCAGAGCGGGAGCAGGACAGGGGGAAGAGTATTGTAGAAGATGAAGATGTGTGTAAGATGGGCATGGTAGGCCTCCACTGTGAGCCCATCAACAAAGAGGCTGAGGCAGGAGGATTCCAAGTTGGAGGCCAGCCTGGGCTACAGAGAAAAACTATCTCAAAGAAAAAAATCAAAAAGGCTCCTGTGAGCATGACAGTCATCAGCTTTCTGGTGAGGGTGACACCAGTACTCTCAGGTCAGTGTGTGTGTGTGTGTGTGTGTGTGTGTGTGTGTGTGTGTGTGTGTGCGCGCGCGCGCGCGCGCGCATGCATACATGCACTTGTAAGCCAGGGGTCAACATCAGATGTCTTCTTCAACTGCTCTCCACTTTATTCTTTGAGGCAGAGCCTCTCACTGAAGCTGGAGCTTCCTGACTGGGCGAGGCCGTCTAGCCACTCAGTGCTGGTCTCACCACCCCAGCACTGGGGTTACAGGTGCCTGCCTCTGCACCAGCTTTAAAACACTAATTTTAAAAACCAGGAGTGATTGGTGCCATCAGAAGTTAGACCAGGGGTCACCTTGGTTAGGGATGGGTACTGACTAGAAGAGAAGGTTCTCTGGGGTACTGGCCTCACTGGTGCACAGAGGTGGAGACACATCCTGGTGGGGCTTTGGGACTTTCCTGTGTATAGGTTACACTCAGACAAACACCTTTCGGCACCAGGTAGGCCTGGGCAGCAGGTGTCCACAAGGGATGCATGGACACCTACAGTCTTCCCAGGAGCCCATGCTGGCATCTGGGTCACTGGGTCGGGGGCAGGGTGGTCAGAGCACACCAGACTTATTACCTTCTCCTGGAGGTCCTTCATCTTTCTGGATCTTTCTCCCGGACAGTCAGAGCTGTCCAGGTCTGGCTCTGGCCCCCAAGAATTCTCTGGCTCAGCCTCTCTCTTCTCTTCCTGCCTCCAGAAGGATTTGGGGCCCAGTAGACTGTGGATGATGTCTTCAGCATTTTCCAGCTGGAGTCCCAGCTAGAGAGAGAAACCAGGTTCATGAATGAGTAACCCAGTCATACAGGTAATCAAGGGTACTCCTACAGACTGGGAACAGGGACCCAGGAGGCTAGCCTGGAGCACTCAGGGCTCCCTAGGGACTCAGGAAACAGGACACAACCTTGAAATTTTCAGGCAAAATTTCTTATGGATTCTTTGGGGGTTTCAAATACCACCTCCTCTGGGAAGCCCTCCTCATATCCCCATCCCACGCCACACACCCCCACCTGGGTTTCCAGCACACAACAATAAGATAACACCCTGACCCAGTCATGGGAATGCCCTTGAGGGGTCTGGGGACTCAGGAATTATCCATGAGGCATCCACTAGTCCGGATGATTATCAGAAGCTGGTGGATGAACGATGAGCCCTTCCTCTGGGTCTCCTCCCATAGAGCATCCTTCATGCCTGTTCCCTCACCTCTCCTCCTTCTGCACATTTATGAGCCGTCCACCCACCTGTCCATCTTCTTTCCTCCCGCCCCCCACCCAGACACCTGGTTTCCCTTCTTTTCACCTCCTCTCCCTCTCTCCTGCCATCCAGCTCTCTTGATAGTGTTGGAGAAAAATCACAGGGGTGCTACCCCAGCCAGCAGTGTCTGGGTGACAGGCTCTGGTCTCTCTCAACCAGGAAGGGCTGAGAGAGCACAGAGGACTCGACCTGCACACAGACTCCAGGGCCTTGGGGCCAAATGTCAGGACATCACAACAACCCCCAGGACACCAACCTCAGAGGTCTTCCCTCTCCTCTCCCACTAAGTTGGAGAGCTTGCCTAGCATGCACTAGGGTTCCTGCTCCAGCACCATAAGAGGGGAGGGAGGGA